CCTGAATGAAGCTAACCAGTGTTCAGAAAAACAAGCCCTTGGCCTGCTATAGCCAGTGACAGCATTCTGCCCCAAACAGGCTTTGCATCTGTTAATAATGGAGCAGGGGACGGTGATTCCAGGATCCTGCTAACCTTCTTAGGGTAGGACCACAGAGTAAATCAACTGTTCCTTAATTTGTATATCAAATAGTTAATTGCTAATTCATTCGAACCTGGGAAGACAAGTTGTTGAGACAAACATACCTAGGGCAACTGCATATCTAGTATCCTTAGAAACGAAATGGGGAGAGGCTGTGCAGTCGGGCTATTAAAAGCAAACAGGTAGTCAGTAAGAGCTGCCCATCCCAGGCCCTCCTGCCCTCATGGCTGTTCAGAGTTAAAAGCAGTGAGAGGGCTGGGGTAATGAGGGGATTTAGGCCTTTCTATCAAAGCAGCCGCTACCAGTCAGAGAAAGAGATGATGGGTATCCAGCTGCCCAAATCACAAAGGGCAAAATTCCTCACTCTGGCACAGTCTGACAGCTGGGGTGGAGTGTGCCTGGAGGCGGAGCAAAGCCTTTCTAGGCTAACAGAATCAGACAGATACAGGACACCTGCCACTCACTGCATCGCCTCTCATGGAGTGAGTTGGCTGCACGCATCCTCTTAATAAAGCCAGACTCTGAAATAAGCCCTCTTTCCCCAGTTTCTCAAAGCCCTGTTGTCGGGAACATACCTTTAATTAGATCCAGACAGCACAGTGGTGGTGCTCAGCTATACTGTGGTTTGGTGCTGTAAGGCAGAAAAGACTCCATGTGTTTTTCTAGGCAGGTAAAATGTGGATGATGTTTGATATCAGATATCACTTCAGGGGAAAAAAAACATACTGTAGCTCTGAGAAATAATGCAAAAAAATTTGGCTTAATTTTTGGCTTGTGCCTCTTAAAAATAGAACATTCAAGTTTTTGTTTGTGAGCAGAGAATAGTAACTGAGATAATTATTTCGGTCTTAGGATAACACAACAGGGTGTTTAGAAATGAAGAACCTGCAGTTCAAAGAGGTTGAGTGATTTGCCCAAGGCTACAATCACAAATGGCAGGGCTGGGATTCAAATGCTGCTGGTATGATTTTTTTTTTTTTTTTACTAATATAATAGCTTATTTTTACATCATTTTGCACACTTTTCTTCCACCTCAATTGTAATCCCCATAGGTTTCCCATCACCAAGTCACCCATGTGCCATCACTATAGTCCAGTGCATTTCCCTCGCTGGTCTGATTTTTTAAATCTACCTTTCTTTTTTAAAGACTGTATTAAAAGCTTACTTTAATCTGTGGGGTAGACTTGAGAGGCAGCAAGTCACTGACCAGCAACCAAGCAAAAGAATGGCCAGTCTGTGCACTCAATCTCTGAAAATGAATCTCATTATCACAGGGCCGTTTCTTTGAAGATAATTTCTCTAATGCTGGATGTGCAACGGTGTGCACTGCAGCACTGTTTTAAAATGGGAGGGATTGATTCCAGCACAGTGGCCATGGCCATCTAGGCCAAGCCACCCAATTCCCAGCAGTCCCTTGGCTCAGTCAATCACCACTGAAACGTGGGAGCTGCTCATGTCACAAGTGTGAGGACCTCAAGCGGCACAGTGTTATTTGTAAATGTCGAAAAATAAATGAAACTATGCAAGAACCACTAAGCCACACAAACTGTATAGCTCACGTTCTGTTTTTCTTAGCACCCAACCTAACTTGTAAGGAATTCAGTGGCAATGAAAACCTACTTTACTGAAGCTGCTGAGTTTCTCAAGCCCATACCGTATTTGGTAAATGGCTGTTCATACTAAGTGGGGGTTGTGCTTTTTTCTCACATGGTTGGGAGCATGTGAGGTCAATTTCACCTTGGATTCTCTGCCTTTGGTTTATACAAGTTTCAAGTTTCGCTCTGTAGGGTTTGTTAAATTGGGACTCTAATTTATTTCATTCTTATTTCAGTGCAGATTGTTGGAGCCTCAGATGAAAGTAACAATATACATTGCTATGGAACCAGACTTAAAATTGTTACTAGTGAAACATTTAGGAGTTATATCTGTAAATATTTTTTAAAAACAGACTTGAAGCACTCTGATTTTAATAATTTCCTATATTTGGATTTCCAGATTTTCCTTCTTCACACATCACTTTGTGTTCTATACATTTTTTTTGTAGTTGTGATTTATTATTTTAGCTAAAAGTACACATGCTTAGCATATTTAATAGGACTTTGAAAGTTGTATGAATAAAAGAAAAAGGTGGGCCTCGCTGGTGGTTAGGGGTTAAATTTCAGTGCTATCACTGCCACCAGTGGCTTGAGTTAGATCCCCGGCCAGGGAACTAACCCACATGGTGCAGCAGACCTCTCCTGACCCGCCTGCTGCTCCTCTAGCAGTGTGTTTCAGTCGATCTGCCTGTTCTGCTCCCCACTCTGTCTCTGGTGAATCCTAAGCCTCTGTACTTCTGGCTTACACCCTAGTTCTTCTACACAAAAATTAATAATACAAAAATCTTACAATAAAGGAATAATTCTTTTTTTAAAAAGGAAAAAGGTTGGAAACCACCTAGATTAAAAAAAAAGGGAAAACAAACTACAGCAGAAATACACAACGGAGTATTAGGTCTGTAACAAAGAGGAAATTCCTTGTATTCTGACATGAAACTATCACAGAAACAAATCTGGAAAAAAGCAAGGTTGAGTTGTTTATGATTTATGAAAAGACAAGACATGTGCCTGCTGGTATAGACAGAAGGCCTCAGAAAGGGTACACAAGACCACACTCACGGCCCCTGTGCAGGAAGTGATCGCAAGGGTCCAGGTAATGGGCTTTTTACTGTACGCCCACTTGTACTTTTGATTTGAAACCATGTAAAATATTACCTATTCAAAAAATATATATCGCTAAATTCTTGTAAAAAGAATAGATGGTACATGAACTTAAAAGATTTTTCATCGATAATGCTGATGCAATCATATAAATAACAATACATGGGGGAAACAGGAGATTATTATATCAAGATAGTATTCTTAAAACAAACAAAGAAAAAACACTTCAAGGTTTGCCAAAGAGTGTCAGACCAGGTAAAGTTAAGGGTGATCATTTAGCCTAGGGTTGTCCCATCATTCCAGGTGTTTGGAATTGTGGGCAGAGTATCAAATGGCCTAGAAGCAGCTGATGGAGTTGGTTGACTACAATGGCTGTGCCTTCATTTGACTGTCAAACTTTCCTGCTGGAGAGGCCTGCTGGACCTGACTATCCATCCCAGGCATATATCATCAGCTCCCCCTTCAAACTTTTAAACTCTTACATATATTTTCCTTTATTTACTTAAAGATTTTATTTATTTATGCATACAGAACTGGGGTTTTGGCCAGAGATGTGGGTGAGAGGATTCACCAGAGACAGAATGGGGAGCAGAACAGGCAGATCAATTGAAATATACTGAGTGGAACAGCATGTGGGTCAGCTTCCTGATGGGGGATCAAACTTGTGTGGCAGTGGCTTCAGAGAGCTTCGTAATGTGGTGCTTTAACTGGCTGCGCCAACAGGGAGAGTCCCCTTTTTAAATTTTTTTTAAAGATTTACTTATTTATGCATATAGAACTGGGGTATAGGCCACAGGTGTGGGGGGTGCGTGAGAGGATTTACCAGAGACAGAGTGGGGAGAAGAACAGGCAGACTGACTGAAATACACTGCTGAGGGGAGCAGTAGGCAGGTCAGGAGAGGTCTGCCGCACTATGTGGGTAGCCCCCCCACCCCCCTCACCCCCGGCAGGGGATTGAACTTGTGCTGCAGTGGCTGCCATAGCTTCATAGTCCTATGCTTTAATGCATTACGCCACCAGAGAGGGCCCCTCTTACATATACTTCAATTAATACAATGTTTGTTGAAGTTAAAAAAGAAGTTAATAGTATTCTGCTCCGTTTTTCTGGAATTTTTATGCCGTGGTTATAACAGATATTTTTAAGTTTTTTTCCATGTATAACAAACTTCCTCTTTGACTGCACCACTCCAATCAGTAATCATGGTGAGAAAGATGGAAATGACTCCAGAAACCCAATATCCACAGAATACTGAATAAATGAAAAAAGTTGAGGAAATTATTTTTTTAATATTTATTTATTTATGCATACAAGAACTGGGGTACATCAGAGGTGTTGGGGTGAGAGGATTCACCAGAGACAGAGTAGGGAGCAGAACAGGCAGATCGACTGAAATACACTGCTGAGAGGAGCAGTGGGTGAGACAGGAGAGGTCTGCTGTGCCATGTGGGTCAGCTCCCTGGCCAGGGATGGAACTCTCGTTGCAGTGGCTGCAGATAGCTTCACAGTACCATGCTTTAACCCGTTGTGCCACCAGGAAGGCCCGAAATTTGTTTGCCTTTTATGAAAACACACGGGTATAAATGAAGAACTACAAAGAATGGTTCTCCAGATAGGCAATAAAAAGGGGGAGGAAATTGCTCACATGAAACAGTCTGACGGTCCTCAAGAGCCCCAGTCCCCAACCTTCGATCTCCTCCTTCTCATTACCAGTAACCAAGGATTACCACAGGTTTTCCTAAACTTCTATTTCTCACGCATTTCTATTTAAAAAGGGATGGCAGGCAAAAGAAAGATGACCTTTTTTCCCACTGAAAAAATTATTTTGAACAAACCAAGTTCTCATAAAAATCAATGCCCATGTTTTATGACATTGGATAAAATCCATTTGGAAACAACTTCTGAACCCCAGCTGAAGGGAGATCACTCCACCTCCAGATCAGGCCAGCAGCCATCCACTTCTGGAAGGGGACACAGCAGCCGAGGGGCTCCAACGCCCGTCTACCACGGCCGTGACCGTGGCGGGGCCTGGCTTCTGAGGCTGACGCTCACCCGCGTCACCTGACACGGCCACTCTCTTGGCTGCGGTTTATGAGCTGCTAGTGTTTACTTGTGAGACTGCTGGGAGCTGAAAGGGAAGGAAGACAAATACACCAAAGCCCAGCTGAGCAACTGATAGCTTTTACATTTTATTTCCAGGAAACGACATCTTGTTTTCACAAAAAGAGGTATGTCATCCTCTCAAACAGAGGCTGCCTTGGCTTCCAGGGGCAGAGAGGAGGGCACATCCAACCTGTCTAAGACAAACATCAACAGAGGTGCCCCTGAGGTACCAAGACAGTAACAACAAACTGAAAATACAGAACAGAACTATACAACCCTCTTTACATGAGACGAGGCAGTCCACGAGTACCCCAAAGCAGTCAGGGTGGGGTGTACTGGTGGTGCTTCAGAGAACGGTGGCAGCAGGACTGGCCAACACAGAAGCTCAAGATGGAGGACTTCCAACTCAGCTCTGTCCCACGTGGCGCTATCCCATGCTCTGTGCCAGGGCGGCCCAAGATCCATCCCGAGAGAATCCTCCAGACCACCCTAAGTTCCCACTGCCTGGCAGTCTTTCAAGTGCCACTGGAGCATGGTCTTCAGGACAGTCTCTTTGCTTGGGAGAGAAAACAAAAAGAAATAAAGGAGGGCTGCAACCCTCAGGTAATTCCCCACACAGTGGCCACAGTGTGTGGAAAAACTAGTCACGTCATGTCACTCTGTTCACATACTGCCTGTTCTTCTCCCAAAGTAAGAGTTAAAAATCAAAGCCCTGACAGAGACCTTTAAAGCCCTACAAAATCCCCACTGCTGTGTCTCTGGCCCAGCCACCAGTATTCCTGGTGTGGTTCCTGCCTCTATTCTTGCTCCTGTCACCAATGATTCTCTTCACTGCAGCCACATTCTTTGAGAAAAACATAAACATGAATATCTCCACTCAAACTCTCCTAATAGTCTTCCCATTGCCCTAGGGTAAATCTTGTAGCACCCTTCATGACCCAGTCTCACCGCTCGGTGCTCTCTAGCATGTTCCAATCAGCCACGCTGTGCTTCCTTCAGCCTCAAAACCCTCCTGCTTCCTTGCATGTGGCCCCTCAACCTATCTGATACACCCACGTCTCCTTCACCCCACGACCTTCATCTAGTACTCTGCATTTCTTACTGAGCACTTTCTGTAAGTAGCCTAGGCCCTGCATTTAGACGGAAGGCTCATGAGGGCAGGGGATACACGTGTGCCCTGTTCACTTTTGTCTTCAGCACCTGCACTTAGTAGGTGCTGAGAAGGAAAGACCCAGAAGAAAGCAAGAGATGTTTCCTTCCGGGGCTGGTCTGGTTCAGGTTTGAAGGGACAAGGGTAAAAGAGGTCCAGACAACCAGGGTAAGAAAGCAGGAAGCAATCAAGCAGGAGCCCTGGCCAGGAATAGGCGTACGTTTACACAGCAGCTTAGCAGGCAGCTGGATAGGACATACATGGAGGGCAGCCTCAAAGGTGACGCCTCATTCTACGATACTGGAGGTCGAGGAGCAACCAGTCACTTTCCATGATTAGTTTAAGGGAATGTAGAATACCAACTTATTGGAGCTTGCTCTAAAAATATTCTGTGTTAACTTAAGAGTTAAGTGCAGGAACCAAGAAACTCTTGAGAAAAGATTCTTTGGTTAATCACACTACTTTAAAGTGATCTTCTACAACACAAAGTTGTAGGAAGTGTGCGTGAACAGCAAATCATAAAGTTACATGTTAGTTAGGGACTTCAAATAACTATTTTATAATTTACCATTTAAAAGGGGCTGGGGGGGCAGAAGAAAAACTTTTGCCGTGGAAATAGCAGCAAATGATGTCAAGTGCTTCCTGCCGGGCCCCTGCGGCAGCCAGAGCCACTCACATTTGCTTCTTTCTAGCTCTAGCATGTACTCAGGTTCTGCCTCTAGGCCCTTAACCCAGGCTGGTGGGACAGGCTTCCCCGGCAAGTGCTGATCTTCAACATGGGGGGCTCACCTGAGTTCAAGGTCAGCCATGGATCTCATCACTCTGGCGTGCCATGGTTTCTTCAAACCCAGCCACCTATGTGTTTGGGGTACACTGAAGGATCATTAATAGCAGTCTGGGGAGGTCACTCTCCTAAGCAGTGAAAGCTTTTCCAGGTGCCTGCAATGAGGTGGTAGCGCCTGGTGAAGGGGAGAAGATACTCCATCACAGAGCACTGAAGTCAGGAACAGGCTTTTAACCTCCCAATTTAAAAGTGATTCAGAAATCCTGGGCTATGGCGTCAACAAGAAAGTCACGGTTCTAGAACGTTGCTGCTCCATGAGTTCTAACTAATCCCCCAGGCATCTCTACTAAGACCCCATCCTCAGAGTGCTACACGTCTTCACCATCCCATTGGCAACTGTGTATCATAAAACGCACAATGATGAGGAAGATGCCCATCAAGGGCCAGGAAAGGAAGGACAGTAGTAAGGAAGGAAAAAAAGAGGAGCAAAAAAAGAAAGGGGGAGGGGGGTGATTCAGAAATTAGAAAAAATACTAGTAATAGTCTGCTAATTTCCTCTGTCGTGACAAATCTGCAAAGGACAGGTATTTACAACACAATCAATACCCTCTGCCCCATGCTAGCCTGCTGAGAGCCTTTCCCCCAGACACACACTGCTCCGTACCAGGCGGGCACACAGGCTTTGTACACACACACTCTAGATCCCCTAGGGGCGGCGTGGGTGGGGCAGGGGTGCCTCCCAGGAGCGCTTGCTCTGGATGAGGCCTGCCCGCCCGCCGGACACTGGTACTGCTGCCACTGCCCACAAACCTCCCCCGAGGCTCCAGTGCTCAAGGTGGTGGGTACTGCCTGGTGGGCACATGATTTCTCAGACACTGCTAGTTTCTCTTGTTCTGTGTTGGGGTCACCCTCATGCTAGCTACAGGAAGCTGGCACGAGCCACTGGCCCTGGGGTCCGACCCGGGCCAATCTTCCTACAGCACCCCCAGCAGCCCTGCAGCGAGCTCAGGCTCTGAGTCAGGAAAGCTGAGGTTCCCCATTTTCTTCCCACCTCAGCCCCACTTCATATGCTAGTGCGTATCAACCAACAGCCTCAGTTCAACACGTTAGTCACTACCAAGGGAGCTAATAGGGATTGAATATAGTTGAAAAAGTCCCTGACTGAAAAACCACTGTTCTAAAAAAGGACCAACGAGGTCTTATTTCTAGATAATTTGTGCTTCTTTTCTGAGCACAATCCCAAAGAAACTGCTAGGGAAAGCAAAATGTGAGAATGTTAACACTCCTGTCAAGCAACCAACATTGAATGAGGGTAGGATTAAGATGGGAGGGGATAAACTGCTCCAGCACCTCAGCAGCTCGGGGAGCTCTTTGGGGGGGGATGTCAAACAATGTCTTCCTTCAGAAAAGTCTCACACCAGGGAGCCACAGTGACTCCCACAGCAAGCCCCGACACTTGTTCCTGCCCCGGTTTAGGGCCTCTCCACGAGGAACCTCACACCCCAGCATCCTCCCCTCCCCTCCCCTCCCCTACTCTCCTCTGTAGAGTCTGGCCTCACTGTTTACAAGGGATGGCGGCTAATCAGTCATGAAGCATTACTCCTCTCGGGGGAGCGGGAACTACAGCCACCAGCAGCTGCCAGGGCGGCCAGCAGAGGGGCTGCTCTTGGCGAAATCAGCCCCACGCTGCCACCGACAGACGTGTCTCCCTGCCTGAACTCATGATAAGAGCAGCCCCTGCCCAGGAGAAAATGGCCCTGCCACAGTGTCAGAACTTTGACAATTATATGCTTGCCAATCCTAGTTCCCAGATTCTAAATTTGGCCCTTTTAAAAATTCCCATGCACTAGGGATTAAACCAGCTTTCAGCTGGCAAGGAAAGTCAGTATCTGAACTGAGAATTTTCTCTAAACCCCACATTGCAGCCCAGTGAAGCTGCTGATGACTCTGGCACATGTTTCCCTAAATCAAACCTTCTGTCTGTCTCTAGAGAAAACCTCAAAGCTGCATTCGCTGTGATAACTGCAGAAGCTGAGCCTGGTGCCAGAAGAGCTCTCCGCCAGTGAGTGCAACAGGGAGGCAGAGACGGTTTACTGTGCAGGCGCCTAGAGTTACCAAAAAGGCAGAGACAGTCTCGTTAGCCTTTGAGAGAAGAAGGGGGGCCAGGGGGGTTGACATTATTTGCTTGCAGAATTAACCCTGTGTGAGGAGACTCAGAGGGAACTGAAGACATGGAGTTCTTTCCCTTTCTGTACCACGCATCAATGGTGCCTGTGCTTGTGAGAAGGAACCCGGTCGAGGGCTGGGTGAAGAAAGAACAGGGTGCCCCTAAGCCCGCACAGACTCGGCTCACATGCTAGCCTGGCTCCCAGGTCACCAATCCTCTCAGAAATGTAAGCGGGAAGAAAACAGAAGGCATTTATAAGGTCTCGGGAGACGCTTGCCAAGCCGTGGGTGTCTTCCTGCTACTCTGGCACCCAACAGATACTGAGCCTTGTGTGGGCATGAGAGCGGTGCTCCTGAGCAACAGGTCACTGCTTCTCACACTTCTGCACTTTGCTTGTGCTGTCTCTTCTGCTTAGCAAGCCACCCCGCTCCAGCACCTTTACGTCTCAGAGAGTGAAGGGGCAGGTTCGGCTGCCGGCGCTCAGCGGACCCTGCCTGACGGCAACAGGAATATCAAGTAGGAAACCCTGGACCCGGAGCTCATCTTTGCCCATCACTCTGTGGAACTAGGGCTGCACAGGGTCCTACACAAGTCATCAGGGATTGGAGCAGTGAGGAGCCTGAGGAAGAGCAGGAGGAAAACGGGCAGGCCCAGCCGGCTACTCACCAGCCTCCGAACCAAGATGCTGAACAAGAGGAGGTGGAGCTCGCACCAGTGGGGGATGGAGAGGATGAAGTTGCTGACAGCCAGGGTTGGAGCCCCAGCCCTGGGGCTTCACTGGTTAGACCCACTACAAGATTGAGGAGGGAGAGGAGGACCTGAACTTGGAGAGCTGGTGAAGAGGACGATGGCTGGAGTAAGCCTGCCTGCGCCAGGGGTGCCTGCCTGGGCTCGGGAGATATCAGATGCCCAGTGGGAAGATGTGGTACAGAAGGCCCTCCAAGCCCGGCAGGCAACCCCTGCCAGGAAGTGACCACCCTGAGAGCCGCCTTAGCTCCCTGCATTCCAGGCCAGAACCAGCACAGGACTGAACACACCCCTGGTTGGCTATGTATCTCCACCCTCCCCATCTCCCTCCCACATCCAGGCAAATCAGACTTCTTCTCAGAGACCCACTTTATTCAGTTCTGTACTTATGGGGACATTGGCCCACGCCCAAGCCACCTTAGTATTATCACCATTTATCATTACCACTCTGTGGAGAAGAAAGTGCGCTGTATATGTGCTCAGACGCACATCCCTCAGTCTCTTTCACACACACATCCCTTAGTGTCTATCTGTCTGTCTGTCTGTCTGTCTCTCTCACACACACACACTCAGTACAAATGGCACTTCCCCCATGAAGTGATGGGGATCCCATGCCCCCACCTGCCCAGGCCAACATGAGTGTTGTCACCTCTTGTTTCTTAGCACCCTGCTGTGGAGTGTGTTCCACTACCTTCTTCTCTTCCTACCTTCTCCATAGACTGACAGGGCTGTAGAAGTGGAGACAATGCTTTACTTGTCCCCAGCCCACTCTGTAGTGTAGTGGCGCTATCAATACTATGGAGCGGGAGGATTCAGTCGGAATCAAGTGGCTACTGGGAGATAAAAATTCAGGGGGGTGAGAAAAGGGGGCTTTAAAACCTGGCACAAAAATCACAAGCACACAGCCATCAGGAAGTGGAAAACGCTTCGGTTCTAAAGAACCACACGGGCCACTCCACGTCCCATAGGTCAGAACGTCTTCCTCAGGTGCAGCACACCTCCTGCTTGGCACGCTCGCCGCCTGGCTCTGTACAGGCTCGCTGCCTCTGTTCCGCTGTCTAGCTGAGGCCAGTCTGCTCCCACAGCTGCTTGCAGCCCATGTCCCGGCCTTGCAGCCCATGTCCTTGCAGCCCATGTCCCCATGTCTAGGTGGCATCTGTTGAAGTGCGAGGGGAAAGGAAGCAGCCCAGAGAAGATCCTGTTTGTAACAACAAGGCTTTGAAGCCTTCCAGCTTCTCTGGCCTTAAATAACGGTGCATCTAAAGGTACACATAAACAGGTCACCAACGTTTAGGAGCTGCAAAGCAGTAGGAAGGACAGAGAGCTTTTGGCTCTTCTCTGAACACCCTTTACACCCAGCCAGCTGACATCACAGCACTTTGGCACTCAGGCTTCCCCGGAGGACAGTGCTCTAACGGATTATTACAGGGACTGAAGATGATAATCAGGCCCACTCCGCTCCTGTGCAGTCTTACCCGACACAGTACCCACCCCTTACTCCACGACCTCCTCGTGCTGTGCCCCAGTACACCTTGTTTTGTCACAGGTCACTGAAGTCTCAAGCAGGGGCTCTGCAGGCCTCAATACAGCAATCCCAAGTACACCGAGGACACTCTGGTCAAAGAGCAGATACTCTGGAAATGTGGTTTGTCAGGGAAACTCACCCACCCAGTCACTTTTTTCCAAACTCTGATGAGAGACTTGTTGGTAAATATATTAGGCTCCCCAGATACACCATAATAGGATTAAATGCATCTCTCTTTGGCTTAACACTATGCCCAATTTGTTAATTGAGTCATGACTCATAGCTACACCTAAATATGTGTTTTCTTCAGACATTCTCCAAGTTGTGAATCTTTGACATGTACACATCCTATTTTTAATTTATTACGTACCTAACCTAAGGTTTTTGCAACACCAGGTTAGCATCTGAACTGTCTTGAACAACAGCCCCACCTAGAGGCGAGTACAGCAAACTGTTTAACCACATCTCGCTCCCAACTGCCAACCAAGGCACAGGCATTTATTTAAGCATCTTCCTTACATGCTGCTCAAACCAAGTAGAATCTACCAGAAAGCTTTTCCCACATTCATTAGTCTTTATTTTTCCCCTTTTTTCTATCTCTTCCTTAGCTCAAAAATAACTTAGCTGACTCTTCCCTAACCACAAAAATCTGCCAAAGTTCGAAGTGTCTTGAGGGGGATACACCTCCTTGCTCACACCCACTCACCTTTCCGTTCCCTAATGAGAACAATTCTTCGTTCTTTTACTTCTGAGCTCAGATTATCTACCATCTTATTAATGCAATTGTCCAGAACCAGAGAGTGGGTTTTGGATTTGATGTCCTTCCGACAAATGGGACATTCTATCTTCCGCTTCATCCATTCATTAATACAGTAGGAGCAGAAACTGTGGGCACAATTCAAGGTGACAGCCTACAATGGAAATGTGAACACACATGTCAGAACTCATGGCTACTCCCCAGAGTGGCTGTGATCGCGAAGCTAAGACAAGTGTTAGCTTCCAAGGCCAAACAGAAAGTTAATGAGCATCCCATTTGAAGGTTTACAATATTGGAGTCATTCTTGGGGATGGAAAACTTTAAGATTCATGTGAGATAATTCCTTTTCTTTTTCAAAGTTGAGTTTATGGTTCAGGGCTTGGGTAGACTGTTTGCCTGTTTTATTCTACTAACTCAAACCACACAGTGAACATGAATTAGATGTCTTGCAAACACCACTACTGGACACAGTTGGGCAAGTGTGTGAACCTTTAGTATAAGTACCTCAGTAATTCTCTTATGAGAAACAAATTTGTCTTGTCAGTGGCAAATAAGAACCTTATATTTTCATATACAAAGGGGAACATGTGCAAAATATTCAATATACAAATGGTTAAAGAAAAAAAAGCGCTCTAACTCAAAAGAAATCTTAAAAACAAACACAGAAGATTAACCTAGAACTAAGGAAATGGTGGAAAATGCTGCTGGTTCACTGACAGTGATGGAACCCCAAAGTAAATAAGCCTATGAGAAAAAAGCAGAAGAAAGTGTGTATTTGAGGAGCTCCCCCGAGTAATTCCAAAGGTCAGATTCTGTCAGGGTCCTTCTCACGCCCAAGAATATAAACCACTCTTTTTGTTACTCTCTTTTATGTGCATCTGCTAAAATACAACATTTTCTGAGCCTTAAATCTCTATTCCTGCTTTGTAGGATAGCAGTAAAAAATAGCATATAAATCATGTATTTTTCAAATGCTAAGGTCAGCCCAGAGAATCCTCTAGGAGACCCCCTGTTTACTACATGAGATAAATTCTCTTAAACAGGACTAGCGCCTGTTGATGAAACAAAAGCCTTCCAACACTGACTTTAAGAGGTGACCAGTAGAAAAGGTTAAGCGGTATGCTGTGGACAGGACAGGTCAAGTGGTTCATGTCTGAAACCTCCGTGCAGAAGCCCCAGGTCAGCTAACTCCTCACCCAGCCCAGGCTCCCTTCCTTCATCACGCTTTGGTGGCGTCTTCCTGAAAGACCATCCCTTAAAAGGAGAAGAATGCAGGTAGCATCTCCTTTTTTAAAGGGGCTGAAAAGCACTGCCACTGAGCCACCTGAGCTTAGCACTCATGATGTAAGATGATCTGGGTGCAAATGTACAAAACAAGAGCTTCTGCAAAAATGCCACAGAAGGACTAAGGCAACAGAGGGGAGATGTTTCATTCCCATAAGAAGCTTCAGCACCCCTAAACTATGTTCATTTGCCCACTGAATTTCCCAAATGACCACCAGTAACATTCCCCACCATGCTGAAAGGCTTCGTTACCTCACATTCAGAGTAAAGGGAGCTTTACTGAGCTGTTTTATTCTGATACTTCAAAAATCTAATGCTATGTGACTCTGTTTCCCCCCTCAACAAAGAACAAGGGCTTTATTGTACTAAAAATGTGAATTATACCACATAGACTTAAGAACAAATGAGATTTTTAAAAAGGACAGTGAAGGAAAAGAAATCTGAAGGGAAATGGCCATCTCCAGAGATCACTGAGAGGGCAGATCACTGCAGAAGGACTGTCTCTAACTGCCTCCAGCTGAGGCAGTCTGGACGGCGCAGGTCCTGTCGGGATGGGGACAGCCAGACGGCAGCAGCCGTTACTCATATTTACCTCGATGAAGTATTCGGAGCAAATGATGCACTGAAGCTCGTTCTCCAGCACGTCGTTCACATGGCTAAGAACTTCTTCCTTCTGTGCCTGCACTTTATTTTTCTCCTCCTGCAAAGATATACAACCCGACCTGTCACCTGGGAGAACCAACACGAATGCAAAACAGGACAGGGATCAGGGTTAATTGTTCTGGAGTGGGTCACAGGAGGAGTCGAAATTAAAATTCATCCTGCCGCAACACAAGAACAAGACACTTCCCCCAAGGGTTACTGCTGTCAGAACTGCTTTCTAATACACGACAGTCTTCCTTTCTCTCCCCACTTCTTCAGTATTTGCAGTGTTTCTGCCTCCTTGCCCAAATTATATAAATGTGGAAAAGTGAAGCTGACACACTATAGCCCCACCAACCACCGACGCTAGAAGAGGCATCACGCACCCTCTCTCACTAGCTGTAGTTCAGAGGTGATCACGAGAAAAGCATCCCAAGCCACTAAGCACTTCGTGAGCAAAAAAGACATGAAGAATGGTCCACAGAGATGGGAGTTTGAATTAGTTTAGAAGGTCCCTTGTGTTCTCTGCAGCTGCTACTTCTGTGAAATAAGGATAATGCCCAGATTCCCTGGAGGTGGGAGCCTCTGGAAGCACCTCCAGGCTCCCAACTCTTGATGCTGTATTTCCCACTTCCACAAGGGCTGCAGTGCAATTATCTGTGCTTTCCCCAGGAGGTCAGACAGCTTATGAACCTACGTTTTAGGGAGGACCTCAGGAGTGCTCTGTTATAGCAGATATTGATTTAAGTTAGCACCTCACGCCCTAAACAGAAATCATCAGGAGTCCCTGAGAGGGAGAGGAAAGTCATTTAAGGTATATTTGTGCGGCTGATCCATTTTCCATCTTTTATTTTCTCCTTTAATCAAAGTCAGACTGCTTAGGGCAGGGAAAAGGGTTTGAGCCCATTTCTAACTAGAGTCAGATTCCTTGAAAATGTAGGAATCTCTGCGTTTCATAAGCTGTGGCAGTGTCTTTGACCATCCCCCC